AGTTGTTGGAGATATTTGATCAAAAAGATCAGTAGTTTTCTTGTCATTATTAGATATTAAGTTATTTTAAAAAATTAAAAAATTGAAAAATTAATATATATTAATAATTATTAATTTTAAAAATCAAAAATACTATTATTGGATAAACCTTAATATGAAAAATCTAATAAACTTTATTTCATCATTTTATAATCACTAGATATTAAAATATTATAATTTTTCTACAATGTTTTATAATCAATTTATACCTACATTTTAAGGGATACTTTATTTACAAATATCAAAAACATATTATTTTTCATATATATTTTTATATATAAATTTCTTATAAGGTATTATGATTATAGATATTAAAAATATATCTTTAAGATTAATGATATATTTTTTAGAGAATATTTTTCTTGTATAATTTTATTAATTATAACCAATTTATAATTAATTAAGTTTACTATAATTATAATCATAGATTTTATAATTTGATTTATAAAATTAATTTTATTTATAAAATACCTAAAATTTAAATTATAATTAAAGTTACTTATCTAAATTCATTTTAGATTTGACAAAATATCTAAATCTTTTATTTTATAAGTCAGATTTCTTAATAAAATTTAATATAATTTGTTAAATTTTACCTTTTATTATTTAAATAATTTATAAAATCGTTAGATTTTATTTAGCAACCTTGGTTGTAATTAACTTTAATTTAAAATTTTAATATTTCTTTATCCTTAAAATTTTTTTTTATATAAAATTCAAGATTAAATTTTTCATTAAAATTTTTATAATCTTTATTATAATACCTATAATTATTATATTTAATCTAATTAAAGACATTAAATTTAAATTAAATTAATCATTATCTTTATTGATTAGTATTAATCTTATTATTATAAAGTAAAATATAGTTAAAAAAAAAAAAAAAGCAAATTAAAAACATTTTTAAAAAAGTAATTATATATTTACAAAATATTATCTAAAAAATACAATAAATTTTCTTTTAAAAATATATTATTAATATTAAAATCTTTAATTTGAATTTTAATGCTCTTATTAGAAAAGATAAATACTTTGATCTTTAAATAAATTATTTTAATGTAATCATTAAGATTAAGCTTTAAAATTACTATTATTTTTTTATTATAAATCCTTATATAAATTGATAAAATTTATATATATAATAAATTATTAATATTATTATTTTAAAAAATATAAATCTTTTATACAAATAAAACTAATTTTAATATAGTTATAATATTATTTTCAAAATACTAAAATAAATACAGTTTTATAAATATTAATTCAATATTTTTTTAGAAAAAAAAAAATCATCTAATAACATTTATTTTTATAATAAAAAAGAAGATTGAAATTAAGAAGATTTTTTTCAAAAAAAATATATATAATTTTTTTATATAGATTTAATTAATAGAATTAAAGTTTTATTTTAATTTAATATAATAATTAAATAAATTACTTTATTTAAAAATTTTTTAAAATATGATAAGTTATAATAAGATATTCTAATTAGAAAAATCTTTTTTAAAATAACTTAAATAATAAAAATAAAAATCAGATATTGGTATATAATATATTAAATTTTTATTAAACTTAGAAAAAGATAAAACTATATTAAAACTTATAAAAATAGTAAAACCATATCAAATTTTTAGTAAAAAAAAAAAATAGCAAAACTAAAGGTTTAGATATTTTGTCAAATCTAAATGAATTTAAACAAGCAACTTTAGTTATAACTTTATTTTTAAATATAAAATAGATTTTAATAATAATTCTTATCAAAACTAATTTTTATTATTCTAAATTAGTTGAATTAATTTTAAATTATCATTAAAATTCAGATTTATAATATATATAAACTTTTTTTTTTTTAATAATTTTATAAATATATTCTCATAATACATATAATATAATATTTGAAAAAATTATTGATATCAATAATTTAATCATTTTTAACTATTTGTATTAATTTATTTATTTAAAATTTTTAATAATTATATTATACAGATTATTATTATTAATTATAATTAATAATTTTAATTATTACTTAATTTTCTTAAAATTTATTAAATATTTAATTTATAATTTTTTTACTTTTTCTTTTACAAATTTTTGAATAAATATTATATTTATTTTTATTTTTTTTAAATTTTTTTTGTTTAATATATTAACAAAAAAAAATAAGAATTATTATTATATAATTTAAAATCTAAAGTAAAATCTGAATAATTACAAAAAAAAAAAAAAAAAATGCTTCTTAAAATACTAAAAATAAATTTTCTTAAATATTATTATCAAGTAAATTTTTAAATGCTACTTTTTTTTTTAAAAAAAAAAAAAGAATCAGTTCAAATTCTCAAAATTTTCACTTTTTTTATTGAATAAGTAGATCATTAGGTCATTAAAAGTTAATTTTATATGCTTTTAATGATAATATGAAGTATAAGAAAATTCTATATTGTTTAACAATAAAAAATAATTTTTTTTTCGTATATAACTTTTTTTTATCCTTAAAAAAAAATTAAAATACAAAAAAACTAGTGAACTTATTTAATTAGAAAATGGTGAAATAAAAAAATAATATTTTAAGTTCGCAAAATTTCAATCTCAAAATCAACGTAACACGTTTACTTAGAATCAAATAATTAAAATTTAGAAATGTAAATCAAAAAGTTTAGGAAGATCAAAGATTTTTTTTTTTTATGCATTTTAACGATTTGTTTAATTTGTCAATTATTACGTACTTCGAAAATTAAAAGAATAGAACTTCAATGATCGGCTATGACACAGGACAAACATTGCATGCAAAGTCTGATTTGGACTATAAAATGTTTTATACGAAATGTTTAAATTTTACAAATATTTTTTGCAAGATGAGTGTATAATATTATTGTAAGAACAAACTTATATATATATATATTCATTATGTGTTCGAATGAATAATAAAAATTCTTAAATATTGATAATAATAATAATAATTTATTTATTGAAAAAAAACATAACATTGACTAATAAATACATAAAATTACTTATTGTACATTAGAATTTTGAATTTTTTGATCTGATTAATATTTTATTTAATATATATAGATCGATTTAAATGAACATGAAATATTTTAATAAATAATTATAATTCCTGACTCTTATACGACGGAAGCACAGCATCGCCATCAAATCCTATTCCTTTTACTCGTTTCTTCCTATTCCAAGCACCATCACCATACATTCCATCCCATTTTCTTAATTCCGTCAAACTTGACATATCTTCGGAACACGACGGTGTTACTTGTTTAAGCGCTGTTTGAAAATGATGTTGTTTTAAAATTCTAACCTGAGGTAATTGTTCTGAATTATCATTTGAAACATCATTACTATGATTTTTGTCACTTTCACTATTGGCTTTGGTCTTTTCAATCTCAGCATCTTCACGAACCGAGGCGAGCGCCGCGCTTATACATAAATTTTTCAGATCTGATCCGGAATAGAGTTTTGTGATCTTAGCAAAGTATTCCAATGATACAGAAGAATCAATCTTTTCATCTCGTAGATGCAAGTTGAGTATCTGTTCACGATCTTTTTCAGTTGGCAAATCGACTATATCAATTATAATCCGTGCGTTAATAAATCTTTTGATAGATAAGAATGGGTCCCGAAACTAATGGGAGCATTTTGTAACGTACCCAATATCCTCCTTGGCATTCTTCTTAAAATGGCATCATCTAGATCAAATGGTCTATTTGTCGCGCCCATGATCAATACCCCTTCATTACGCGATGTTAACCCATCCCACTCTGCCATGAACTGATTGATTATTTCCCGATGTGCTCCATTATGAATATCTGAACGTCTAGAACCAAATATAGCGTCTAATTCATCCAAAAAAATGACACATGGTGATAATTTACGAGCAAGAGAGAAAATTGCCTGTCAAATATAATGTTATTAGTTGGGACAACAGGTGATATAAACGAGGTTTCATATAAAGAGTAAAATAGATTGAATTCGAATTCATACCCGGACATTCTTCTCACCTTCACCAACATACATGTCATACACATCACTAGATTTTATATCTATAACTGTACTACCACTTTCTTTGGCAACAGCTTTTGCAAGCATTGTTTTTCCTGTACCTGGTGGACCAAATAATAACACACCAGAAATAAAATGTTTACTCAAAACACCATAAGAAAATGATTGTGGGCGCATCAAAGGCAAAGTAATCAATGTCTGAAGGGTTTGAACGGTCGATTGAGCCACATGAATATCAGAGAATCCAACAGTTATGTTTTCTACAAATGAAAAGTTTTAATTATAATTTCAATTATTCGCTCCCTAAATGAATTTTATCCAATAATTTACCTGAATCCACGACACAGTTTAAAAGTTTTTTTTCATATTTATCTAAATCCTCTTTTCTTAAATTTTTTCTGTTTGTTAAATTAATCTTACCATCACCAATACCGACGATGCTAACCAATTTTTCGGGACCTTTACTTATGGCATCGTTATTTGTTGTGGCGGATTCAACGAAATCTTTTCGTAACTTTTGATTAGCCTTTAAAGTATTTGAAGCTTGAATAAGATGTTCAACATCTAAATAAACTGGATCGTGTGATATTGAAATATTTTGACTAGAAAGAGCAATACCGATAGAATTCATTACCAAACGATGAATACGTTCAAATCCCCAAACATCATTATCTATACCTTCCAAAGGAGTGAGTAGGTTTGACAATTCTTTAATGCTATTATTTTTAAAATATGCACCTTTACTGCCACACATAGCTTTCAACGTGCGTACATTAATATGCCTTATTGCAACGTTCTTGTCTTTTGCTATCATTTTTTGTAACATTTGAGCACGTTCAATTGAAGATGGTGGTGGAATGGCTATGTGAGTAAATGCAGCTAACAAGGCTGAATTGGGAAATATGTCGATGCTAACCCATTGAATTTCATGGGATGGCACGTTGGTATTTGCCACAGACTTTTTATCCATGGCGAACAATGATGGAGAATAACCCGCAATTATCATAATTCGATCTCCTAGATATCTTTGATTCTGTACAGCTTCTACAAGACCATTAATTAACGCGGTACCAAACGTTGATGGAACTAGATCCCCAATGTCACGAAAATATATTATTTTTGGAGATGATGAAGATGAGTTAGATGATGAGGAAGGTGAAGCCGTAACTAAAGCTTCAAAAAACCGTTCGACTTTATCTAGGATGACTTTCATTTCTGCTCGTAAAGATCCATTGGCTTGAGATGAATTATATTGAAAATTATCAACTAAAGGTTTATTTTCATAATTAGAATTACGGGATATTGAAGGTGACGATTCGAAACCTTCTTCTTCATCTATAAATACATCATCTTCCAGTTCATCATCAGAAGAGAATGAAGAAGTCGTTGAATATGGAGATGCTGCAATGTATGGATTAAAGCCCTTCAACTCGGGAAATAATGGCCACGGTGTTACTAAAAAAAATCATTTTTAAAATGATGATCAAAAAAAAAATGTATTTTTTTTATTTTTTTTTTAATTATATTTTATTGCTTTTTCAATTAATTTCATGATATAAAATTTGATCCATCAATATCATCTCACCATTACCCTTCCGAGAAAACATATTTGCCGTCAATTCCATTAAATCTTGTCGATCAAATGTTAATAAATCAGCATGTAACGATGCTGCGACACTTTTGACGATGGAGTCTAGGTAAAATGATGCACCTTCAATAGGACAATTTAATAATAAATGACCTCTTCTAGCAGGTACAGTATCTCCCTTTGGAATAGGTAAAAGATTGGCGCGTGCGCTGAACAAAATTTCATCACGTATACCATCATCCAAAGGATATGATATCAACTCAAAGGTATTGGTATTATCTTTAAATGATAAGTAATTTTCCTTCAAAAATAAAGGAGGTATTACTGGTTTATATGGGCTTATAGGTTTTCGCAATCGTGAACGTAGTTTAGGAAGTGAAGTACGTAATTTTCTTGGAGATCTAAGTAAATACTCTCCAACATTTTCTGCCGTTTTATTTTCTGGAGGTTGCGATGTACTTTCTTCTGTTTGCCTACTTTCAGTTTCCTCGTGATTGGAAGTTGAAGTAGGTGTTTCCTTTGACGAATTCGAAGAAGATAAATTACTTTTATTATTATTGTTGTTATCCGTGACGGGTTTTAGCGGTGAACTATTATTATTTGTTGAATCATTTGGTGAGTTTGAAAAAGTTCTTGGAACACTGTTGTGAATAGATCTAAATGTAGTTACACGTTTACAAAATTTAATTGAACAAGCAGTTTTTCGTCTATTAACTATAAGTGCGCGTTGAAAGGTTCGACCGGTTAAATTTCCAAGCATTCTTGTCGATTGTTTGAAATGATTCAAATTGTCAAAATAATCAAGATTAAATAAATGTTCCTCGAACAATTTTTTGTTACGCAACCACCAGTACTACGCCATTTCACGCCGCAGTAATCGCGTTTATTTTTTTTTTTTTTTTTTTTTTTTGTATTTCTGACAATATTGGGAGTCGGTGTAATAACTTATTTTATGGTTTTCAAAAGAAAGAGTCAACAAACGTATAACTCCTCATTTTTGAACGATAAAGAAGAGAATTATTAGGTCACCCAAAAAAAGGCGACCGCAATATTAAGAGAAAATTTTTATTACAAAGGAGTAATGGTATGATACTAATAAGTTGGGAACAAATTATCCAATAGAAGATATGAAAAGTGAAACAAGGTTGAAAGTACAGTTATTCTTTGGTGGGTCAGAAATGACGTAATTTCCTAAGGGGTCCACCTAGGATGATATTACTATATGATTTCCTTATTTAAAAGTAATAAAAATAATGACGGGGGAGGGGAGGGATCCTTAAAATCAAAATGAAGTAATTTCTGCCCCCCCCCCCATCGTTTAATATTTTTTAATATTTATTGTTTAAATTTAATAAGATACTATAAACGCACAACCGAACCATTGAATGGCTGTATTTCTATCCGCCATGTTTGATATAACACAATTGTTAAATAACTAAAGTTCAAAGTTAAAATGCGTTTACCGATTTTTTCGCTGATTCAATAATTCTAAATGATATGGGATCTTTGCAATTGAAAAAGGGGGAAACGGCTGGAAAAAATAAAAAATGAGTTAATGCTAAATCTGAACATATTTTGACCTAAAAATCATATTTGGCTTATAAAAGTAAAATTGATTTTTTCCCCCTTTCTATTGCTAAGGTCCCATATTATATTCCGTTATATGCGTCCAAAACAAAAAAAAAAACACATTATAATTTTGTCAATCACGTGTTCTTGTCTAAGTAAATGTATTATACCCTGGGTATAATAAATCGATTAACATAGCGGACATGCTTAATTTCATCACATTTTGTCGATCAATTTGCTGATCATTTATTCATTTTTATCACATATAAAATGTTCCGATCGGAAATCCTACATAATAATATATGTTAAATTTTTACAAGTAGCTGCATTTTAATATAATGAAATAACATATTAAATATTTACCAAAATATAATTATTATTGGGTAAGTTATACTAGAAGCAACATTTTGCCAAAATTAATATAATTATAATAACATATGATTTATATTTGAAATATTCAAAAATTTGTCACAAAGCTAACTTTTGTGTTATTTAAAATTTTATTGCAATACGTTTATATTATATTTTACATAACTTAAACTAGGAAATATAATGATTAGTATAGTTTGGCCACGCATATATGGCTTTGCCCAAATCTTAGAAGTCTAAATTATTAATATTTATAATAACATATGATTTATATATGAAATGTTTAAAATGTTAACTTAAAGCTAACTTTTGTGTTATTTAAAATTATAATATAATACTTTAATATTATATATTACATAGCCTAAAATATCAAATATTATGGTCGGCATAGTTTGGCCATGCATACATGACTTTGCCCAAATCTTAGAAGTTTAAAAAAATTAATTTATTATATAATTTATCTAATTATTTATTTCAGCCTTAAGCTAACTTATTTATAATATCTAATCTTTGATTTACTATATTAGAATCACATTTTACATGATTTAAAATATTGAATTTATTAATTTGTAGAATTCGCCTGATTATATGCTGTATTGCTTGAAATTTTTAATTTAGGATCAGCTGATTTTATTTAATGTGATAATTCATTTATATACGATTGACAAATGATCGATAAGGTGATATAAGCAAGTCTGTTATGCTAGCTGTGACCAAATGCAATTAAATCCAATAAGTATTAATATATTTATTAATATCTAGATTTTTGGCTAAAATTTGACTGTTTGGCCTATTTTCACAGTTGGCCGTTTACTAAACTAGGAAAACTATTATTAGAAAGGGACTAATCACATATCGAATTTCATGACTATATTCTTTTGAATTAAATAATTATTATTTATTATAAAATTTAAGTTCATGAACTACATATATTTATTTTTATATATATTGTTCTGCTATGATGAAAGCATAGTAGTAATATATTTATATGAAATAACGTGAAATAGATTTTAATTTATAATATAAATAAGATGATTTATGATTTAAAATTTTTTTAAACAAATCATATAATTAAAATGACATGTTTTTAGACTTTAAATGTCACTAAAAACTTAATCAATTTAATATGCTTTATATCACTTTGTCGATTATTTGATGATCATATATTTTCATTAAAAACCATTAAAAAGTAAATGCTTAAATAATATAAGTTAAAATGTGACATTCTATTATTACATAACTTTGAGTTAAATTGTTTTAAAATAATTTTTATTTTTTATATGTTAAATTATTAATATGTAATTATCAGATAAAAATTGACGACCGAAGCTGAATACACAAGGCCAAAACCTGAAATTTTGTACAAACACTCCTTTTTAAAAATAGTTATCACAATTAAAAAAATGACACAGATGAGTTGCAACTTGTAACACAATTAAATTTCCTTATAGTACAATTAAGTTGCAACTCAATTGAAATTTGAAAATAATTATGAGGACTATCTTTACTCCTTTTATTATGTATAATCTATAAAAAAAATAAGACCAGATTTTGGCTTATAATACAGGGTTTTTTCATATAGAGAAATTAATCAATTAAAATATTTTTAATAAAAATATATTTATTTCATACTGGTATTCTCCCCTAATATGCTAACACTTAACCCTAACTAATCCTAAAAATTCTTAACAATTTTTAACTAACCCTAATAAATACTAACCTAACTCTAACTGTGACAAATAGATACACATGACAAATAAGATTTTATATTCAAAAAAAACTAAGTTTCTTGAATAAATAGTAAAAATAGAAACTTGATCGTGTGATATATGTTAAATAAATATTTTAATATTAAACAATTCACATAATACAAATGGGTGATATCAATATCACTACTAAAAAATGGTAATCAGATTTTATTTGCTGGGTTACATATACTTATTAGGGGTGATATATAATTGTAATAATTAGCATTTTTCTCTCAAAATAATTTCTGTTCTCAAAATATTTAGTAAATTGAAGAACGGTTAGAATGTGATGCAATGTGACAAATTTGTTAACCTCTTTAAATTAATTCTAATTCTACCCTAATTCTAATCCAACCCTAACTCTAATACTAACCCTAATAACAAATACCTGACAAATAAAATCTGGCTATCATTTTTTGGTGGCGATGCTATGTAAGTCAGATGATATCTCCCAATATAATGTTACATTTTTTCAATTATAAATAATAAATAGAATTTATGCTTTATACAAATAAATATTTTATTTCTTTATTAAAATTAAAAGGTTTCTAAGTTTATTTATGAATTTTAAGCATACAATGACTTCTACAATTATTATACCACTTCATTTGTAATTTTTAGATTATAATAATTAAAAATTTGATGATCAAATAATTTGCAGATTTAATTAATGTATTATCTGAGTCTTTTTTTATAATATATTCAAATTCAAATTTCTTTTTATTTATAATTTTAAAAAAAATTCTTTTATAACCATAAATTTTAT